ACTTTGCTTGCCTGATGCCCTGCAGTGCCTTCATGCACTTGTTCAGAAGCTGAGTTTTCCTTGGATTCTGGAAGGTCCCTGTACAAGGGCAAGTGTGCTGCTACATGTGTATTAAGGAGAGCTTGGGGTTTTGAGGATGGAAGAAGAAAGAAGGCTCAGCTCAGTTAAATATTCAGACAATGGAAAAAGGAAGCAGGGAAAATCTGACAACCCTTAGTTGATAGTTGATGGTTTGGTTTGTGTTACTGTCATTAACTACCACTATGGCCTGGTGGTATCAACTCTGGTGGTGGTGTGAAATAGCAGCTCTGGGCCTTGTTGAAGAAGTGACTGTCTGTTCATGTTCCAAGTTCTTATACTTCTCCCCACAGGAAAACTATGACTGTGCTTCAGAGAGGGCAGCATAAAATATTTGCTGTAGAAATGTTTTTTGTTTGCTAAAGAAACACAAAAACCTCAAGTATGGTCTACTTGAAGCTTTAAGGGGATTCCTTGATGAGAAGCTATTTTACCTTGCTCCTTCCAGGGCACGGCTGGACAGGAGAAACCCTCTTTGCTCAGAGTTTGCTCAGTAGTTCTGCTGATCTGCACCTTCTGCCAGGCTGCAGGCAGTGCAAGTACTCAGCACATTCTTTGCTTACTGTAATGTAAATCTCCTTTCTTAATGTTCTTTTTAAACAAAGTTAGCACCTCTAGTAGTAGATTTTGGTAGTGGTGATAAGAGCACTGGCTTTTATATCCCTTGCTTAAAGCCGTTAAGGCAAGTCAAGACTTTGTAGAATCTGTTCTTAGCAGGATCAGCCGTCTTTTCCATCTAAGTAAATCATGGCACTGTAGTTCTAGCAGTCTCTGGACAATAAGTTAGTATTTTTCTTGCCTTGTCATTATTTAAACTACTCCCCTTGCTTTGACAGGCTTTGTAGTAGAAGACTAGGTCTTAATTTTGCTGGCAGTTTCTTTGTAAAATGGCTCAATGCTGTAGCAGAAAATGGCTTTTTTGTGTCAGTGGTAACTGAAGGCTAATATTTCAGGCATGAAAGAGTAGAAGGGAGAGATGGCTTGACAGCAGGCTGAAAACCCTTCTGAAAAAAAGCCTTCTCTCAGGGAGACATCAGGCTCTGCAATTTCCAGGCAGTGTGGAGGGAAACACGTTACAGAATCCTAAACGACCTAAAGATGGTCAAAAATGGTGATCCTTGATACCAGCCTCTGGCTGAAATGCCACATAAGTGAAGAGCAGAACAAAGCGGTGCCTGAACCTTGTTTTGTGCTGGGTATAACCCAGCTGACACTGCTCCCTAGAAGATACAAAATCCCTAACCTGGGATGACTGGACACTAGAGTGACAGGCCCATTACAAGAACTTAAAGGCACCATTTGGGCAGTTTGCTGCTCTTCTCAGGGGATTCAACAACTGGGTGCTGCATAGAGTTCTGTTTGCATTGAATAGCAGCAAACTCTTTAATGTGTGGAAGAGGACTGAGCAAAGTAAATGGAAAACTATACGTAATGAATGCTGCTATGCAAGCTGTTACCTCAATAGTAAGAATTTCCATGTTTCTTTTTAGGCAGGTGTATACTAGCAATCTGCTGTTTGATCATGTTTGCCACCAAAACACTTAGCACAAGAAGTGTGCACAGCTACCAGCTGTCAAGAATTTGCATGTTCTTAACGCGTACCATGAAGCATCTTTTGCCTGCTTCTGTTCTTGTTTGTGTCGCAATAATTTACTAATTGCCGTAGCTCTGCCTTACAGCGACACCTGCCGCTGCGGTCAGGCTTGGCAGAAAGTTGGTTCTTGGCTCCGAGGTGGCAATTTCTGCTCCCCAGGTGATTGCTGGGAGCTTTGCTAGAATATATTCAAGTTCACTGTCTTCTTCCTGATTCTGGTGTTATCGCAACAGAAAAGAAACGTCCCTCAGGCCAGCAGTTGGAACACACATGGTGTACACGTGCCAGTGCCAAACTTAATGCCCATTAAGCTTTTTGCCCAAATTGTGTTGGTCAGCTTCAAAACTGATACAGAATACACTGTAAATTACACATCAATCAGCGCTAGAAAATTAAGGTGTATGTTTGGAAAAGTACTTGAAGTAATTATATGGCTAAAGCCTGGATTTTGCTGAAGTATGGATTTTGCTAACCATGGTCTTGATCCATTAGTGGAGGGATTGATCCATGACTGAGGGGCTTGATTCCTGGCCTGTCTTTGATAACCTCTGTAATTCATATCTGAAACTGTTTGTGGCTTATACCGGAGGCAGATTTTATCAGATAGGGTGACTTCCCTCATTTTCCCTTATAAATCCCTGTTAGAGCTCATTTCTTCCGTATCCTAACAATAAATTGGAAGGTTAAGGCCAGCTGGAGGATGTTCAAGTTGATCCATCAGTGTGAATGAAAGGTGGATGAAAACCAGTGATCCCACATCTTAAACTGAAAAGCAAAAGTTAACATGAGGTTGGGTGCCTTGGAAAATTATGTCACTAAAGTACAGATGTGTTTGAATATAAACGTAACTCTGATTCTCCATTTCTTCCTCCCTCCAAGCTGGTGTAGGGCTCATTTTCTTAGGGTTCAGGTAGTCAAATGGAAAGACTGAATCAAGAGAGATCCTGGAAGGGGGCTGCTTGTGTTTTGTTCAGAAAGATATACATCTGTCAGTTGCAATCTTTTGTTCTTTTCTCAGGCAGATTTCCCAATAGTTTGGTCAAGGATTGAACAAGAGTAATTGGACTGGACATACTAACTTTAGGATATGGTCTCACAGGTATGCCACAAATCAAATGAGTTTGTGCAAAAAAATTAACAGAATTGCTGCTGGCTAGGAATTGAAAATACACCAGGAGAGAAACTTTAGTGATATTCTCTTAGATGAGAGCTTTTGTTAGTTTATAGTTCAGTGAAATATATTTTCCAGTGTCAAAATAGATAACTTATTTCAGTAATAGAAAAATAACTGTTTTTTCCAGCATGAAAGTAATCCTACCAGGGATACACATACTGTAGCATGCTAATATAATTCTACTTTAATACAAAGTAGAAATTTAATATCATTCCTGAGATGTTACTATTGCATTATCAGAAATGAATTTCAGCAAGAGCAAAATGACTGATGTTCCAAACAATATTATTAAAGTTTTCAGCAGGTCTCTTATAGACTGCAATAATAATTTAAAGGTTACCTTTAATTATTTGTTGGGTTTTGGATTTTGGGTTTATTTTTCTGTATGGTTAGTTTTAATTATTTCCTCTTACACAAGCCTTTCTTTCTTAGTATTCTTATTTTTTAAAAGAACAGTGGATTGATGGTTTTCTTATTTAGGTTTGTTTGTTTATTGTTCCAAATGCATATTGTATTGTTTTACTGTTGAATGGATGGTGTCATTCCTCTTTAGAAGAGGAAAGACTAGGAATGCCCTGGTGAATTCAGTTGTGTTAGGAAGTGAATGTTTCATTAAACATTGCATGCTCTTTTTACTGTGTGAGGAAATGCACCACTCATGCTTGAGAAGAAAAGAGATATAATTTGATTTCCTATCTGTCCCCATTCTTTACTATCAAAACAGGACGGATACCTCCCTGAGGGCAGCTGGTTGTTTCCTTCCCCTGCAAAGGCTTTCTCAGCAGTTGTGGTGGCTGGGAGAGTGGCATCAGTGGTGCCTCAGTGTGGCTCTTTGCTGCTGGAAGAAGGCAGCATCTTTGCACCAGGTATAATGTAGTGTGCGATTCCCTTCTCTCCCATGGTATGAGAGCTGTTCAGAGAGAGCGAGCTATAACAGTGCTGTCTCTGCAGCTCCCTGGGCACATACACTCTCCCCAAGACCTGTTTGCCTCCATCCTGTGCCTGCCCAGAGAGTGATATGGGCTTTGAGAAACTGCTGGCATGGGAACATCTTGGCTCAGTCGTCTCATCCTTGGTAGAGTGGCAGGACAATGCATGAAGTTATTGCATGTCAGGAGAAATAGCATGACTGCTCGCCTTTTATTCTTGCTTATTTTGTGAGAACCTGTCCTCTCTGTTTTCTGATTTATTTTTTTTTTACAAAACCCCAGGAAGTCCATGCTTGTCTGGTTACACTTTTCACTTTGCTCTCACAATTGCTAAATTTTAAGTAGAGTAAAATAATTGTGTGGGTCATAAAGCAGACCCTGAAATAGGAGGTAACAGCACTGTGGAGCAGCAGTGGGGCAGAATGGAGACAATAGGTGAAAAAGGAGACGTGAAATGGTGGGAGGGGTGGGAGGAAGAAGAAGGCTGATAGAGGGTATTTGTGTTGCTGTGAGTTGATAAGATACTGTGTGCATTTGGAAGCCAGACTAGATGAAATGTCAAAGAGGGAGATAGTAGGGATCAAGATAGACAGTGAACAGAGAAAGAGAAAAGATATATGGCATTATGACTTAAGCTGTTACAGGTGCCTTGTGTTTGGTTAGAGTGCTAAGTGTGGTTTGAATCCCAATACTTGAGTAGTAGAACTCTCTGCTCAGCACAGGTGGCTTCACTGAAATCACAGACCTCAGGGGATGAGGACCAGCTACATGCAGAAACCTCTCAAATTATGGCTGAAAAACAAATACTATTTTATCCTCCTTCAGATAAGCCTTTTAAAATTGTGGAAGTTAGAAGTGGGATTAATCAAATAAAGGAAAATTTAACCTACTTCTTTTAGTCACAGCTATTGATTATGGTTTGCTAAAAGAGCAACAACCTCAAATGTTTCTGAGACTGGAAAGCTAGCTGTTAAAGGAAATTTCTGAAACTTTTTTCTCTGGCAAGGGACTATTGATTGGCTGAACTGTGATTTGATAGTCAATTTTACCTGTGAACAAGCACCAGGATATCTAGTTCTCTCTTTTTTTTTTTTTTAATTTTAGTTTAATTAATAAAGATGGCAATTTGGTCATCTTTTAATCTTTCACAGAGAAATCATTGCATCAGTAAGCAAAAACTCCCTCCAAACTGCAAAACCGATTAGAAGTTCTGGTGTCTGTACCAAGCAGACAGCAAGGCCTTATGCAGATCTCTTTCTTCACTGGCAAAACTGTGCTTGTTACCTTTATGGTACAGAAGTACCTCTGTAGCATCTGGTGAACCAGAGATTCAGAGATGTCTTTCCAGGTCTGCGTGACAGTGAGTGTAGTGTGTGAAATCAGAGCGTTGCTGTTCCTTGCTAGGGAGAACAGTCCCCCAGTGTTGGATGTTTAAATCTGCATACAGATACCTGCCTTAGATGTTTAGTCATGTATTATCACACCATGAGTAAGAGAAATCCTTTCATCAAACCTCTTAACAGAGAGAATCCTGCTTTAAACATATTTTGCTGAAGTGCTCTGGTAGAACTTGACCTCGAGTGTCTTAGCTAATGCAGGACCAACACAGTTGTTTGGAAGTAAACCAGTAAAAAGCAGTGAGGAGATAAACATTTTAGATGAAACTCCTTTCTTACACACACTAATATGTGCTTGTTGTGGAGTTGTATTTTTTAATTTTGTTTTGTTTTTTCGATGTGGAATGGTTGGTTGTTTGATTGTTTTTAGCTCTCTAACGTTTGACATTTAAGGCTCAGGTCTGGGAATCCCCCTGTATATTTATCAAGGGATTCTATCAGAGGCATGGTCAAAAATGGATGAGCAGGAGGTGAGAAAACTGATTATCTGGGGAAGACAGGAGTTCTCTTATTTTAGAACAGGGAGATCAGACCGAGGTGAAAAGGCTGACTTCTGTATAATTCTTGTGCTTCAAAGCCCAATAGATAATGATACTGTAGGCTCCAAGGGCTCATGAAAGATGAAATTCAGGTTGAACAAGTAAAAGGGTTTTTTTATCATTTTGCTAGCTCTTTGCTACCAATACTGATTTAAACAAGGCCAAGTGCAGGAACTCACTACTTTAAATTAAAATGCTGTGTACTAATCTGAAGTATCCAGCACATCTGGCAGATAGGGTAGCATGGGATTGGTGCAGTGATTCAAATCACATTTCAACATCCTGTCTTCTAATATTTTTTGTTACTGATAATGAACTATTTAGTATGGACAGAGCTTGTAAATTAAATAGAATATTGATATTCTTTTTGGCCAACACTTAACTGATTTAAAAATGGATGTATTACCTATACTTAGGCCTTTTTTTTCCTCCCACCCTTATAAACCATGTTTCTATGGAAATTTTAGCAGGGTAATAATTTCCAATTTACTATCAACATTACAATGAAACACTTGTTATATTAAGATTTGCAGTTCTTTGGTGTTTTTTTTTTTCCATTGAACCATTTTGAGAACAAAGAGCAACAGATACAATATGTAATGTATCTGTGTCTTGGGGTTTTTCTTGTTTGTTTCACAGGCAATGTGTTCTTAAAGCACACCTTCGGAATAAGCTCAAGTGTGCTAAATCTAAGGCTTTATTTATTGAATGCACGTGTTTCATCTACAAGGGAGAAATGGTCCCAAAGAAGAGGCCAATATTTTTAGTCAATAAGGATTAAATGATTTGGCTTATGCTCAAAGGATGGCAAAATGTTTCCATATTAGCATTAATTTAAAAGGGGATATAATACAGTTAGATAGGAGGTAATTTAAACAAAACAAAGAATTCGTACCTGGTTTCCATGAATTCACTTCTTAACTTCAGACTTCAATATCTTCTAAAGTCTAGTCTCTCTCCTTCGAAATGAAAAAAAAAAAAAAAGACCAAAATGAGAGGGAAAAGTTCTTTAATTTTTCACTTTTAGGGCTATTTATCTTTGTAACACATGGAAATTGAAGGCCTGGAGCAGTAATTCTGCAGCATTTTGATAAAAATCATGTGCAATGTACTGATCTTCTTCTGGAAATTAGACATGGACAAATTGGCTACTAAGAATAGTTTTTGAATAGTCCAGAAGCTTGCAGGTTTTTCTAAAGCACTGAACAGTCCAAAATTAGGGGGCTGGAGTTTCCACTGAGCCTCTACTTTTCCATTCACTCTAAACCTCTCTCCCTTTATGAAGCCTTAGGGATCTGCCATAGTGCTGTTTCAGAGGTAGAAGATAAGAGCTGTTTCTACTTAATGCAAAGATCTATAAATTAATTACCTGTTTGCAGCCTTGCTATGAGGAGAGTTGTCACACGAAAGTTTATTCCCCTTGAGAACATACTCTTGGTTTTGTACAGTAAACTCTAGATTGCTTCCTACAAATATTTTTACTTGGAAACTTAATCCTAAAGCTCTTTTATAGCTGTAATAAGGAGAGGTTTTGAAATCAATGCACTTGTTTCTTCATCACTTTTATGAATTGGGAAACTACTGCTATGCCATCTTCATTCATAACTGGGCTGCGTATAGATGTTGATTTTTTTTTTTCATGGATGACACAGTATTGATTTTGCATTTGCATTATGTAAGAGAATTGAGATGAGAAATCCCATTTTGCACTCAGAATTACAATTTCTAGTCTGGTTTGTAGATGCCTGTCCAAATATGCTTTATTTGTGTCTTGTAATGATTTGACATATCAAGATAACTAAGAACTTTCCAAAAATTATTGATGGTGCGATTGTTTCTTTTGAAAATGTTAATTCACACATTCTATATTATTTTAAGAATTGAAAATAGCATATTTTGGGTTTTTCTACTATTTTATCAAAGAAATGCGTTTGAGAAAATTATACCATGATCTGATTTTTATATCAGTATGGCAGCTTATACTAGGTGACATTCTTTCTTGATTGTTGGAAAATTTAGCTAAAAGAAAGTGCCTAACAAGAATATTTTTTCAATTTTAGATTTATTTTGTGTAGGAAGATGTTGGATCAAGATTAGTCTTGATGCAGGTAGCTAAAACTCTTCTTCTCCTAAGAGGAGCCATACGTTGTACTATAAATATTGAATTCAGGTTCTTCCTTGGAACTCTATTAAAGTGCCAGTACTAGAGTAATAGCAATGCAAATCCCCTGCTTCCTCGAAACCTTTCTGGTTTAGACTGGTGCAAACACCCGTGCATATGTACAAGTAGCTATTCCAAATATGAAAAAAGTAGGTCAGATCAAGTCTTGTAATTTTATATTTCCAGTTTCTTCAAGAATCTTCCACTGCAGCTTACCACTACCCAAATCTGGGAGCTAGGAGAATGGAAAAGATGTGGGGGTCAGTCAGATACAAAAGGGTGAAACTGTCGTAAATGAAATAATGATGGTTTGGGGTTTTTTTTGACCATTTCTCCTGATGATGTTTTTAATAGTTTACTATTATGATTGTTTGGTTGAAAATCTGTTGAAGAATTTACCTATTAAGAGTAGGGAAAATTATCTATATGCAAGAGTATGCACTCTGTACATAGGATAGCTGTATATTAAAAGAAAATAGAAAAAAATTAGAAAATAAATGTTATGTGGAAATCTCTTCTGGGCTGCTAAGGTACCATGTGTGTTTTAGTACCATGAGAATTAATATATTTTGTGCAATTTAAAATAAGTGTATGATTAATTTTTTGATGAGTTGCCGGCTACTGCAAATCCAATTTATGCAAACAAAATTTGAAATATAAATGCATTAGCTGAAAATATTTAATCATAGACATGAATATGAACTTATCATGCTCATTGCTTTACACTTGCAGGTTGGCTTAAATTATTAATGCATATTGTTGAGTGGAAGCAAAAGAGACAGTAACACTGACTCTGGCTGTGGTGAGGACTGCAGTCTTGCTGGTGGCCACTAGTAGTAGGAGATTATTTCTCCTTCTTTGCTGTTTTAGCGCAGCTGACCACCCTTTCCAAATGTTGCCTCCCTGCTTGCCCATGTCCTGCACATTCTGGGATAGGGAGCAGTGATTTCATGCAGGCTGTCATTGCTGATGCAGTCCCAGATCAAAAAAAAAAAGCTTTTTTTTCCCCCTCTTTACTGTCTGATCCTTTGTGCAAGTGTGGATGTTTTACGGCTAATAAAGGTGCTTGGTTTTTTTAGTCATCTTTTTTTCCCTATAGGAATAGAGTCAGCTTGTTATTGAAATTTGTCTGATAACAACGCTGACCAGCAATTAAAAATTGCAGGCAGTTGGAGTATTCCATCATATTTGTAGCAGTTTATTTTCCTTCTGTCAGAAATCAATGCTGCAGCAATGGAAAATAGGAAATGAAGAAATAAAAAGTTGCATTCAAAGATTGAAGCCAATGGAGCTTACGCTGAATTATTAAACAATATAATTTTAAAACTTCAGAAGTAATATTAATGTTGAAGCCTCTGCATTTCATTTGATACTCAGGTAATGGATGCAGAGAAAGCACACTCTTTCAGTTACTTTACCTTCAATTGTATTTCCATATCGGTGTTTTCTGTAGGTAGACAGGTTATAGTAAAGTTTAGTTAGTGAGGCGCATTGTGCTGAGGAAGCAATGAAAGAAGGTGGTATTTGAAAGGCAACCTGATGGGATGCATGATGAAGGATCACCAGTGTGGTGTCTGCAGGGGTTTGATATTCGGGACTCGCTGGATCCTTCATCAGCAGTCGGGGGTTACATAGGCAAGGTTTGGATGAGACAGTTTGGTTACCAATCACAGGTGCTCTGGGGAAGAACTGCAGTCCAGGACAAGCTCCTGGGCACGCACATGGTAGTCTGCAAACCAGGATCCCACCCAACCCTGGGGCCAATGTGTGGCACTGCAGAAAGGGCTTGTGGGGAATTCCTGGTGTCAGATCAGACTTCAGTAAGATGCAAGTATATCACTGTAGAGAGCTTGTATTCCTTCTCACTCTGGAAAAGACAGATTTAAGGCTCAGGTAGGATTTCCTGTTTATTTTTCAGTAGCTTGTTTGATTTGTGAGGATCTTTGATTTGAAAATTATTCGTTAAATACATTCAAAACAAATAGTTTATCAGGGGAAAAATATGTCATATTGTGCATTTTCTTCTTCTTCTGTCTTTTTTTTTTTTTTTTTTTTGTGTGTGCCCTAATCGGTGTTTTTTTACTGTCACCTAGTGATAAAAGATGTGCTCAGGTCAAAAAGAAAAGATGATTAAATGTTACATTATTGCCTCAGCTGTCATTTTTCAAACAAAAAGCAAAAAAAAAGGAGAAAATGAAAAGAATAAACTTCTTCCTGATTCTTCCCCCTAGTGGCATCAAGCCACGTGGCCTTGTCATGAAAAGGTCACTTAGATTTTAGCTGAAATGGTGACAGCACATGCTTTGTTTTACATTTGAGCTCTCTTCTCCTGGTTTTCTCTGTGACACAGCATGGGGCTTGCTCCGCTTGTGGAACCTGTTACAGCAATGGGTTTAAGGTAACATAGTGAGTACCACAGCTCCCGGGTTTGACAGAATGGGAGAAGAATGACGGGAAAGAGAAGATCATATCCTAAGTGAGACTCGTAGGAATATTAAATCTAACACCTGACAAAAGATTACTCCAAACCCAGCAGCCTTGAATATGAATCATTGTAATGAACTCTGCATGGAAGTGCTCCTGATGACAGTCCAGAAACTCAGTCTGGTGAAATCACAGTTGCTCTCCTGTCTCTGTCTCTGACAGCATATTACTCCTACTATACTTACTAATACTCAAAGCTTTTTGCTTGCAATCATGTTTTTTGGTACTTAAGAATGTGATTTTTAAAGGGTTGATCTGTTCTGTTTATTATTTTTTTCCAAAGTGAGCACTGAGATACAAATGTTTTTAGAATTTTCTTTTAAAGTAAGATTTTGTTTTGATGACTGTGTAACAGTTTTTGGCTAAAATTCAGTGGTGGGTTTTGTCTGTGGGAAAAATTGTTTAATCTTCCCTATGTTTCATTTCTGAGTGAAGCTTTTAGAGAGACATCGTTATCTATGTGGCTTTTGCTCAATATTGAATCAATGCACTAAAAAAAGAATAGTGTTTCTAATTCATTCTCACATTGGTTTCTTCCTTGTCTTCTCATATTTAATTGCTTAATGAATTCTGCCTCTGCTTGGCTGAGATCTCTATGACATTTACAGCTCAAGGCAGAGTGATTAAAGAAGCTTTATAGGAAATATATAATTACCTTCTTAGAAGTACAGTTGTTTTCCCTCTGAAATCCATAGTCCAGTCCATATGGAAGCAGACTGCCAGCTCCAATGTTGGTGATGCATTTACTTCAAGACTTCTGGGTATCTCTGTTCTTTGTGTGATACAGATGGTTTAGTAGTCAGGTATGAGACATCTGTAGCTGCTGTATCTTTCTTGGGTACACAGAAAATTTAAGAATAGCAACCATTGTTTTCTTTGTAGGATCTGTAAAACTAAAACTTGTTCTAGGCTGGAAGTATGCATGAAAAATTGTGAATTTCCAATGGTAGAAAAAAAAAGTGAAAAAAGAGGAATCTTGGGTGAAATTCCTAAGAATGGGCTCTATCCTAGAAAGTACTGAGTAGTGTTACAGAAGGCTGACTCCTCTTGCTACTGCTGATTATAGCAGCATGAATATGCACCTGTAGCAGCAGCTTAGAAAGCACCTGTATATCTCTTTAATTTCATTTGAAACTACAGAATATCCTGAGAGTGGGTGACATTCTTCATTATGCTTATTTAAAGCCCTGTGCACTGCTACAAATTTAAAATCCCAGTGACATGAGCTGCACCTTTTCAGTTTTAGACAAATTAAGGTGTGATGGTGCATCCCACTCCCCCAGTCCTCGGGCCTGCTCTGGGATCTCAGAAGTTCTTGACAAGATGTAACCAAACCAGCTGAGCCACAAAGCATCCCTTGACCAACTGGGCCATGAGGTATTCCCTGATCATACCAGGAACTCTTGCATGGTAAAGGTGGGAACAACCAGAAGCATCAGCTGCCCAACTGTTGTGGGCTAAAAAGGGTTTTCCCCTGGAGTTGGAAGGTGGTTAATCCCAGGGGGTGGTGTTCTTGGTGTAGAGCCAATCAGAAGCTACAATTCGCCCCTGTGAAATGAACAGATTACAACAGACTGGAAAAGGAGACAGATTACGTAGTTGGAAGAGAGGCAGCCGTGGCTTGAGACACCACGTGTTAGAGCTGAGGGACCAGGGAGCCCCGCTGGGGGCCAAGGCCCTCAGCCCTGGCTGGGGCTGTGGAAACCTGGCGCAGCGTTAAAACTGGACCGGGTGCTGTGGCCAAAAGGCTGGGGGGAGTTTTCTCCACTGTGAGTGGGCAGCAGAAGAATGGCAGCAGAGACAGCACTGAATAGAGAGCTGAAAGCCGAGAAGATAACCGGGAAGCAGCAAATATGCCACATGGCCAGGCTGAGACGCAGAGGTATCTGACAGAGAGAGAGAGAACCAAGCTCAGTAGAGACTGTTTGGGGTGAGACTGAATTACTTCCCCAAAACCCTTGAGACCCCTTTTGGAAGGAGGGGGTGGGCTTCTATTTGAAGGGAGTTCCAAAATGCAGCAGCAGCTAGAGAGAGAGAGGAGCCGAAAGCTCAGAGACGTCCTGGAGCTGGATCAGGACGGTCAGAAGGAATGCAGGGGAAGTGGCCTTCTTTCCCTACCCCCCCCCCCGCCACGTTGGCAGCTTGAGACGGAGCAAAGGAGCACCATTAGAATGCTTGGGGCAGAAAAACTGAACTGAGAGCCCTAAACGTTCTGACTCAGGGGGAATTTGACCCCCTGAGGAAGGGACTTTCATGGGATGCCTTGCACCCCGTGATATGACCATGGTAAGGCGAGTTTTGTCCCTGCTTTGCAACCCACGGGAGAGAGACCTTCGGTTGGAGCCAAAGGGCCGAAAGGGGTGAGAGAAAAACCCCTGCATTGTAATGAAGAGGGAGAGAGATATTTTCCAACTACGACGGAGTGAATCTGCTGCTTGGAAGAGAAGAGATTGTGCTGCCCTGAAAGTGATTTTCTTCTTTTCTTCTGAACTTTTGTTTGGAAGGAAAGGAGGGATTTGATCTATGTAAATATATTGCTTTACCATAAGAGAGATAGTTAGAATTGTCGTATATAAATGTATTATAGTATTTATTGTGTTAGTAATAAATTTTGATATAATTTCCCCATGCTAGTTGATGTGTTATGTCTGAAAACCCCTCTCACATTGAGGCAAAGTGTGGGGAGCTTAGAAATTGGATTTTTGGGGAGTCAAATCACAGCACTAACCAAGGTGGGAAACAAAGGATAAGCAATTACATTTTGTAGCTTTGCTAAACCATATACCTGATTCCTAACGCAAGTGTCATGATACCATTATTACTGCACTTTGGGAAACAAGCCCTGTAGTCACCTACTTGGGTTGTTGCCAGGATGGAAACCTACTGATGACCAAAGTCAATCATCTTATGACCCTATAAACACTGGTCCTAAGTGAAGCCCTTTTGAGTGGTCGTGGACCACAGTGGGCTGTGCCAGCACCTCACTCTGAGTGAGACACCTCAGAGATGACAAATCTCAAGTTTGCAATATTTGAAGGATTGTCGCTGACAATGAAGCCTAGGCTGATACCCCCACCCCGCCCCATCTCCACACTTCTCGAGGTGCAGCTCTTGCCTGTTGAGAAGCACAAAGGGGTTTGATAGGAGCATTTCACTGAACTCAAGGAGAATTTTTGATAGGTACCTTTACACAAATAGAAATAGGTGTACACATCGGTTTACCTGTGTGCATGTGAATTGATTATGGTATGAATGTTATGATATTACATCTATGGTTAAGTCTTTGTTACAATTGTAGTGAACCCTATTGAATTGCTTTGTAAATGTTACAGTAGTCAGTTATTAAGTGCTCTTAAACCCTTTTCCACCCTTATCTTTGCATCTGTATCCTTTGCACCCTTACCCCCTTTCGCACTCCCATTGCTTCTTATTTGACCTTCCCTCATTGGATGCTTTAATCTGTGTAGTAAGTAATAGAGTGAACCTTGCCATTGAACTCTCTAAAGTCGTATTTTCACAAATTCACATTAAACCCTGCCTTCACCAATACCTTTGACCGTGTTTCTTTAAGCAGCCAAACCACTCTTTTGCAACATAAGAATAGACCTAACTAAATAGTTAAAAAGCTTCTTTGCAAGACCAATGTCCAACTGCAAAGCAGAAAACTATTATAGAGTAGTGGATGATTTGCTATTTTATGGTCAGAGCTGCAGCTGACCAGAAGAGGGACGTCTTCAGTGCACTGTACTTGATATATAATAGCAGTTGCATACAGTCCTCATAACACAGGTGGAAACACATGGATGGGAGGGAGTAGTTTGAGATGCAGTTAGATCACCTAGCTAGCAATCTGCAGCTGTATAAAGCCATGGATTTGCTAAATTTATTTTTGCAGTTTCTACAGGACAAAGGAGAAAACAAGAAAGCACATAAATACAGATTATGCATTTTGTTGTCGATAACCACTATTTTTTTTAAGTAATGCTGGGACAAAAATGTGTTGGCCCAATGTATCAAGCAGACCAAGCAATTTTCTGCATACCTCCCATATATATCATGTATGTATTACTACCAGCACTCCAAGTCATTAATTAAGCAGAATTCTCTTATGTGTAGATTATGCTGGCAGGTTAATTATGGTTACCAGGCTACTGAATCAATAAAAGAATAAAGGAAACAGATTGCATACCTAGAAGAAGTTGTGTAAAATTAGAAAAGGAACAGAGGGGATATACTAAGGCAGTTTAAGGAGAGATGTCATAAATTTGAATTTAGGCAAAAAAAATGGGTTGATTTCAAAATCCATTTAAAAAAAAGGAAAAAATATTTTCAATGCTAATTGCAAGGAATAATAGAATAGGAATAATAATAGGAATAATAAGATTATGCTTTTCTTCCTCAGGTATTGCTGTAGTGTATAAACATATTCCCTTTTTATGCCCTCATCTTACTTAGTCTGCTACAGATGCATCTGTTCCGTGGAGTCTTTCCCCCTGCCTGAATTTACAGGGCTATTGAATATGGTAATATACTTGCTTCTTTTCTGGAAAAAGCATCAGGACTAGTTAGCTTAGAGCCAAGACCTTCTTTTTTTGTGTTTGATGTGTTATTCATATCCTGTCTCACAGGGACAGGAAGTATTTGCCAAAGGGGTAAATATCAATATAATTGTTTCCCTTATTTTTGTTGTGTTATGATAATTTTTGTAACAACTAATAATTAGCCCTAAAATTGGTGCTTCAACTTCAGTCACTAAAGGGAAATAGTTCACTGGTTCATAGCAGAAGAGGCACCATTTAAAATTAAGGCCATTGCTCAGAAAGGCTTTGGTTTCTTCGTCCATGTTGCCTGTGAGAAACTCTTAGATATCACAGGCTGATAATATGCCCTTGATGTAACTTTTCCTTGGCATAGGTGGAGATGAGGGCTATTTACTCTTGCTGTAATTTCAGACACTACTGGACTTAACATATGCTGCTCCCATTAACTTGGGAAGTAGTTATTGTCAGTGGCATTGAGGTCCCCCTTCTGTACAATGAAACAGCTGATTTTTCAGTTATGTCTCCATGCCCTAGTTCACTGAATGACACAGGAATTACATCAGAAAGGAATTTGACAGATAGAAAAGGGGATACTTTGGCAGATGGAGCTATTTCTGAGGAGTAGAGCTTAACACAGAATATTCAGATTGGAAAGGTGATACTTCGTGGTAATGCCAAGGAGAGCAGATTCACACACTGAACCAGGGCTGCAGTGCACTTGCACTCTTGTCCTCTTAGCATTGTCTCTTCTAATAACAAAAGCATGAAGCAGTACCTTGGGGCTCTCCAGCTGAGCTGGGCGGCTAAGAGCACGGGCCTCCTCTGCTTCTAGTTGTGCTGGTTAAAAAAGCTATTGCTCCAAGTTGCATATCACAGCATCTTTTCTGGAGGTGTTGGTCCTCCTCACCCCTCAGAGCTCAGTGAGCTACTTGAACGACCATTCCCTAGTCTGTCTCAGCTCACACAGGCAGGGTTAACTAAGAGACTTCAGATAATGTCTTTGGTGACTTAGTTCTTTCTGACATTACATAAGCTAGAGAGTACTTCAATGTGCAGCCCACCTGGCAAATCTGAGGGGTCTCCAATAATGGGATGGCAACCTTTGAGCCAGAAGAGAAGGTAAGTGCAAGACCATCTATGTTCTGACTGACCGCTTAAGTTATTCTTCACTCTACAAGCGCCAGCATCCACTTTGGTCACCCTGGAAGATAACTTGGTTTTGACCCATGTGTGACCATTAGCACTTCATCCCTCTGTGTCACTTTCTAACTTTTCTTTTTCTTTTTTTTTTCCATCTATTTAATTGTAGACATCTTGGAAGAAGGTGTCTCTGTTTTCAGGATGCCAAGCCAAGGACAACAAAGCCTATATCCTGTTCAGGTCCTTCAGCTTCTGCTGAAATAATTAATGAGGTTTTGTATGAGCTGTTGCAAAGTGCCTAGAGACTGCTAGATTTGCCTACACAGTTGCCGTGGTGCACCTTGGCCACATAGTTGTTTGTTAAGCAATTTTGCCTCTAATATAAAAGGCATTGTGTAAAATCAGTTCCTGTTATTTTTTCATAGAGAATCTCCATCCAAACTTTAAACTTAGAATTGCTATCTCCTTAAACGCTTTCAGATAATAGTGATACAAGTTCTTCCAGTTAGTATATATCATCACTTTTTATAAAGCAAAGCTTTGTTCCTAGCTGTAGAAATATTGTGATTTACTGGCCTCCAGCCAGTCTGTTAATTACCTGCTAGTTCCTGCCCCTGCAGCTGGGGCTTTGGTTCATTCCAGTGTAAGTTATTAACTTGCTCATAAATAGTTTCTCTAAATAACTTGACAATGCTGCAGAAGTTTAATTTTTGTATTTTTTTTCTTATAAATAGGAATAAATGTGGGGGGCGCAGCTTTAAAGTGCAGTTATATAAGGCAACTCTTGATTTGAGATATCAAATAGTAGCCACATATCCATGTGTACTACGTACAAGTGTCACAGACCTGTTACTTAGCTACCTTCTTGTTTTTGGGAGAATTTCAGTAGTTTTACATGTACCAGACTGATTGAAGACTGGTTTGTTTTATAATGCTTAGTTTGGTTTGGGTTTTTTGGTCATGTTGTTTTAAAATAGTAAGATCAGATGAAGAGATCTTAGACCAGGCTTCACTTGTGGTAAGTCCATTGAGAGAATTTACAATAGTTAAAGACATTCTGGCTGTCTTAAAGTAATTGAGACAGATAATAGAGTCTTTAATCTCTTTTTCTGTATCTCGTCCTGTTTTTTTCTTTTTTTTTTTTCTTCAGAAGTTGTAAACCACTTATTTTTTTTAAATGTGGGATAATAAATATAAAACTCACTGTTCTCAGAAGGAAAAGGCTGGGACTGTCCTTGGCCTGGGAAGCATCCTTTAGGAAGCTTATGTACCTGAAGTTAGAAAATAATTTTTCTGCAGCCCTCTTACAGTTTTGGATATAAAAAGTGTCTCAATTGATTAATTGCTTTTGTAGTTCACGGGGAGAGAAGAGATTCTGTAATTACCTAGATCCTAGGCCTTGCTTAGATGCCTTCTATCTGCTAAATAAGCCGATAGACAGGATAACTAATTCAAGGACAGGTATTACAGACTCTTCTTGCAATGGGCCATTAATATATTCTGTGTGAGCTGAACTCCCTGAGAGAACTTAACAAATATGCCCAGGATAAAGAAAGTACATCAACCCATTTTTAGCTGTAACCTCAAGTGAGAGAAGTTAAAATCATCCCATCAAACACAGCAGGCAAAAATAGTGTTCTTGTGTTGTTTGTATTCATAAGAATGGATAAGGAACAGGCCTGAAGCAGTGAATCACCATGGTAAATGGCTGGCCAGCCACCATAATTTGGAAATGATCTCACCTAATGAAATTTGTCAGGATCAAATCTGCTTGACCTTGTCTCATTAATACGGGTTTGGATGGAGGCTGGAAGGAGTAGAAGTAGGATAAGGAAACGGAGAGGAGCATGGTCTGTACAAGAAGGCTGAGAGTAGTAGGGCTTGCCGTAGTGGGTACCATAATACTATGGGCAAGAGAGAGCAGGGATCCCTAGAGCAGAGCAGTGCTAGAAGCAATACAGAGGAGTACAGTGCTCATTCTCCTGCCCTGCACATTGTTTCAGTCTGCAGGAAAAAGCTCAAGTACCTAAATAAAGCTCCCTGTGACGAACTGGTAGATTTTGTGTTGCCCTGTTTCCTTTCTTTTTTTTTCCCCCCCAAAATGCCTCAGCCAAGGTCACATGGTACTGCGTGGTGGATATACCCATACAGAACATTCCCCATGGTGGAAGTTCTGCAGTAACATAAGAAAGAGTGACTTGAGAGCAGATATAGAGGTGAACTTGGTTGTCCCAGTTTGTATAGGCTGTCTAAGTTGATGGCTAAGTTGATGGCTAAGCTAGGGGGAGGGCTGGATTGCCCACCTAATGCACACCAAAAGGAAAGATAATGGGTTTGTATTACTTCTGAGAGATGGTTCTGACTGAGAAATAAACACCAAAGGAAAGTGGCTTTAGCTGAAAATTGAATTCTCAGCAGCAAGAAGCGCCTGATCTGATTGTTTGTACCTTTTCCCCCAAAACTTTGGCAGCCTGTTTTCTTTGTCTCTCCTCTTTTTCCCTTTTCTCTCCTCCAGCCCCTGGCCCTGGCCCTGTGACTTTCAGCCCTCTCAGAACTAGCAGTCAGTCTCTCTTTGTCTGGAAGGAACACTCTGCTCTACTGTGGAAGCCACAGCTCCTTTTATCTTGTGTGCTGCGGTTATCTGACTTGTGCATCTCAGAGCAAAACTGATAAAGACTGCTAAGACAAGATGGTCATTTTCAATCCTTAATAGCTTATCAGGTTTTAAAAATCTCACGAAAGAGCTGTGTGTTAGTTAAATGATGATTAATGGGGATGCTTATAAATAAAATATACCAATTTATGTTTGATTTTGTAATAATAGTGTTAGACTTGTCTCTTTGTCTTAAGTCTATAAACAAAGGGATCACAAGAGAACAGCATGTCTGCGCTTGTTTAAATCAGCTGGAATTAGTGGCACATGCCCTTTGAGGTCCCCAAGTTAGGTGGAAGCACTGAAAATTATTGTGATTTTGTATCAGGATAGTTCAAGATATTAAAGCCAAGACCTAACCCACCTACTTTATATCAGATGATTCAAACAGTCTGTGGAACAATATAGAAACTGTAACAGAGTTACCATTTTTGTGTCATAGGAGGGGAAAAAAAGAGAAAATGGGTATTGTCGTGATGAACTCTTGGTTATGTGTTTGGGTTTTTTTTCCCAGTTGTTATGCAGGTTGTTATAGAGCCACCATTGTGCACCTTCTGCCTGGATGAGGAGGTAGTTAGGTTTTCAGTGCAAGGTCCCACTTCGTGACAAATACATGCCCATAGATGGAGGATGGGCCCTTTCAGGTTTTGAATACTAGCCCCTCATGTAGTCTAAGCTGTCTGGGCAGTAGGTTAGGATAGAAATAAGCTATTTGCAAGTACAGTGGCACAGGCAGATGAACACTGGCACCAGTCTGATAAAAACAGGGGAAGCAGTCATGTATAGGAAGCTAAAAGCCGTATGAGATCTCAAGTTTATTCCCCATGCCACCATGAACATTTGAGTTTATACAGCATTGTCAATAATGAAGTAACTGGTTGTGGGTTTTTTTTAATAATGCAAATGCATCGATGTTCTCTTTCTTCTCTTGCAGCTGCCCTGAGAGCTTGTGCTGATGGAGGTGCCAATCGTCTCTACCATATCACGGAAGGGAGCCAGGAACGGTATGTTAGCAATACACTAGAAGTCATTGAAGTCATCTTCTCAATGAAAGTAAAATACAGAGGAACAGGATCTGTTCAGTTACTGAAGTACCTGCCTGCTCTGTGCATGGTACTTTAATGAACTGTGGCAGATAGTATAGTATTTTCTTCACATTATCTTTAATTTTTATTCCCAACTACAATTTTTAAAAACACAGGTAGCCTGAAATACCATTTTCCCTGAAGCCCACTAATCTTTTTTTCCTCTTAAAAGATCTGCTCTCAGTCTGTCCTATTTTATGCATCCATCAGAGTTATGCCTCTGAAAAAAATTGCTGTGCCCCTAGCAAGGGTTGCCTAGAGGAACATCTTATGCCTGTCATGATGAGCTGAAACAAAGTGTGTCCTCTTCATTTTTCCTGTGAGGCCTTAGAGGAAATCTGCTTACTTTGTGAAGTGAGATGGGTAATAAAATAGGAAGTCTTCTTTTCGAATTATTTCTCAATTAGCATCAGGGCGTGATAAGTGACCAAAGGAAAGTGCAGAGGTTATCTATAAATGTATATGCTGGGTGAGGAAATATGACTGAAAGAATATGTTCTGTTTTTCTGCAATAGCATTTAAAATTGTAAAATATTCCAGTTTGTGCCCCAGAGTTGTTGAGCTGGGGTTGCGATGCAAAATACTGCATTCAAGTGCTTTCTTATTTTTGTAGTGGAACCATGTAATGCTGTGTAAACTTAACTTAATAAGGATTCTTTTTGCTTGTCTTTAAGATTTTCAGTTGTTTTGAGCAAGAATTCATAAATAAGTAGTTTCATAAAAGCAAATAAATTGATAGAACTGACTCTTGGGGCAATGGAATGAGACAGGCATTTGGTAGAACTTACACATTTATGAACAATTTTGTTCATATAGCAAAATCTGACATGGGATTTGCTTTTCATGTCATGGCAAGTGTATGACAGAGACCAGGGGAAGCTTGGTTTCCTCCACTCCTTCAGAGTAAAGCCCAGAGTTGGAGAGGAAGACTCCAGTCTGAAAGTAAAAATTATCTAAAAATTTCTTTCTTTGTCACCTGTGAAAGGTCTGGCTGAAGTTCTACAACTGCTAAAACAGAGACTGGAGTCTGGCAAGCGCTACTGTCATAGAATATTCCTTCTGTAACCTTTGTTTCTCCTTTTCTAGTAGTTGCTCATAGAGCCATGCACAACTCAACAGGTGACTGTTTGAATTCAAGACTGACTTGCAGCAAACATTTCTCTTTGATAATGGTGATGCTCTCCAAAGAACAATATTTTAGAACTTTCACTTTACCTTCTCCTGTAACCCGTTAATCTCTTCTGCACACCTTTATGTTTGTATTAAATAAATATAATTCAGGGGAAAATGGATGATTATACCTTGACTGAATAGTTCTTTCAGTCTTACATACTTGGCCCTTGGAGTATCTTTGTTCTCATCTTAATTGCTTTGGGTAGGTATACTTTACCTTCAGACTGCTTCTTTTGAAACAACAAAAAAAAAGATCTACCTAATTTGGACTTTTTTTCTTTAAGGAAATCATTCTGCTAGAAAGAATATCCATTTACTTCTCTGAAGTATTTTCCTTTAAACTCCCTGTCCAGTGTCATTAAAGAGCTGTCTGCTCAGACTCTACTGACATGCTTATCATTTTTTAATGCTGTCTTAACCTTCTGTTTAAAACTCTACTTTATTCAAAGCCCTGATATCTAATTGTGTTATAGCAAACCCTAAAAAGCTACAGTCCTTCATTTTTAGAGATTATTATATCCAAGAGATACAAATAAGGAATTTGATTGATATTTTCAGCTTGATTCTCAGTGACACTAAAGTATGTGAAGAACCCTTTAAGAGAATAGAATAGATGATAACATTATGGAAAAATAACAGCTTGGATTATGGGACTGTTGCACAAGTGTCTTCCTTTGGAGAGAAGTTCATATTACAGAATCACAGAATCGGTTCCCTATACTGCATGTGTTAGTGTTCAAGCATTTATAGAGGTATTTGATTGTGTCAATAGCCCAGTAGGAGTGCAAAGGGATGCCCCATAGTCCTGTCTTGTGGTTATGTCTTTGGATGCTTGTGCTTGATCGAGGTATTCCCTCTTAAGCCTCCTTTTGGTACTTGGACGGTCGCTTATCTCTGTCACACCTTATCTCTGTCAAGCCTGGCTATGTCTCCATCCCTCTTCAAATCTAGTTTAAAGCTCTCTCAATGAGCCCTGCTAACCCCTGAGCTAAGATCCTTTTACCCCTTTGAGACATGTGGCCTCTGTTTGTTGCCTGCAGGCTCAGTGTCATATAAACTGACATACCATCAAAAAAACCAAAATAGCACTGCTAACACCAGTCTTGAACCCAGATGTTCATCTGCATAATTTTCCTGTTTCTTACCCTAACATTCTCTGCAACTGGACAAAAAAACCCACAACTGGTGCTGCAGATCCCTTGACTAGTTGTCCCAACACCCTGAGGTCCCTCTTACATTTCCACAGCCTTCTTGTCGGGATTTCATTGGTATCCACTTGAAAAGCCAGTAGCAGGTAATAATCAGTGGCCCATACCAGGGTGGGGAATTTTTTGGTGATGTGTTTTTTCCAGGCCCAGAGAGGCAACAACCAACCCTAGGGATTGGGTTCAGTTGGCAGTGAAATAGTTGTTGCTATTTTGAAGGGTCCATTTCCAAATCCTAGCAAAATACAGAGCTAGAAATTACCTCAAGAGATCCATCCTACTTTCCCTCCACTTTAAGGTGAAGACAAAGGTATCTGTTCCATGCCTGATACATAACTAAATTAGCTGGTTCTTAAAAATATTCAAGTGAGAGCTGTATCTGCCGCCCCACCCTCCATCCAGCTTACTCTGTTTTGGGCTAAAATGTGCCCAGCTTGTCTGGTCTTTCTATTGGTCATCTTTTCTTATTGCTCTTATTGGACTCTCTTCAGTTAGTTCTAAAAGTGCTATGGCTGAAGCCATGTGAATAATTCTTTAACTTGCTTCTCATTAAGTTAGCCTATGCTGTTGAATGAAAACCAGGAAAGGGTGATTCAAGACCACACCCCCGCCTCCATCTGTTTCCTGTTTTTTCCACTGATGTTTTGACTTGCTTCTGTGCTCAAGTGGTTCACCTATTCCCATCAAGCAAAGGAAGTTCTCACCTTCCTCTCTATAGCACTGCACAGGCTGGCTTAGCAATGAGACTTTGGATAATGAGATTAACATACATAAGATGTTTTGTGTCTTCATCTGTGTTTGTGGTGTCATTTTTATGACATTTGGTTGGTTTTCCCATAAATTTCTGTAAAAACTAGCTCAACAAATCTGAATTGCAATTATTTTTGTTTAAAAACAAACCAATCCAAGAAAATTGTCGTTTTTATAAGTACCAACAAGGAGAAACCATGTTAAAACAAATGCCTTGTAGAGCAGGAGGGATAGGAAGAGTAACCAAAAGGACAGGATAACTTTCCCTTAGAGAGGCTCATCCTTGGGAGCTGTGAGTGTTGGGGTCAGGAGAAAGGCAAGACTGAAAAAGGAGAGAATCCTGTTGCTTTTCTCTCTCTGACTCTACAGCCCAGGAAGGTTTTTTTCCTTAAAATACAGGCGTTTTTTTGTTAACACCAGTTCCAATTTAGAAATAAGGATTATTGCAAAATTGTTCTTAGTTGCTGAACATTTGCAGCTAATCAGAGTTAAAGGTGAGTTACTAATATTTATGGTTTTTTTGCTCTGCCTTATTCTGTCTGCCTTGCCTATCCTATTGTTTATTTTCTTGAAGCACTATGAAACACTGTTTTCTGCTTCAGAGTTAGGCTTATCTGTACCACGCTGCAGCAACTTCTTTCTCAACACTTTCTGGTTAAATCTTAAGGCATCGATTGTACCTGAGCGTCACTGGCTTTGGGGTACATGAAGATGAAAATGCGTTGAAAACTATCATTGTATTGGCACCTTTAAAAGCAATCAGTAATACTTGTGTCTTGGATGCTGCATTCCAGAGAGATGTCACATCCATCCTCTACTCATATCTTGCAGTGTTAAGGTCGTCAGGTTGAAGAGGGGGGCAGTGAGCTCTATAAGAGGAAGGATAATACTATGATGACAAATACTGTCTTTCTGGGGTTCTGTTTAGTATTTCAGTATTTCAGACTTACTGTATGACACAAGTTGATTTGCCTACAGTCACTGAGAACATCACTTTCACTACCCTTCCTGATTTTTTTCTGTGAACTCCATAAAACATAAGAGCAGCAGTTAAAATGGAAAATGGTAGCATTTTCTACATATTAAACATACATGAGGTGAACTCAGGTGTTGCATGAAAATACAGCTGCTACTATATAATTCTTCTCTGAGCTGGATGTGAATGGAGGCAGCTTCGAGAACCTCTACACATCTGTTTGAACATTAGGAACAAATTTTGTAAACATTTCCAGTTGATGTAAGCATTTCCAGCTTCTAAATTTCAAGTACAGACCTCAAAAAAATCTTTTTACAAGCAATTTATATCTTTGACATCTCTGGCCAGATGCAATTTCACTTGGGCTTTAGATTGCCTGACTTCATCCACCCCCAAGCACAGCTCCGTTCACTCCAGCTGCCCTCTCACATAAAGGGCAACTCTTCTTTCTCACCTTCCCATCCTGTCCTTCCTGAAGAGCCTGCATCCCCTCATTGCAACACCTAGTCCATTTGTTTCCACAATCCCAACAAGCTAGTAGTTCTGCAACTGCACAAAAATCTAACTCATCATGTTTCCCCCCCCCATGCTACATGCATTTCCCATGGCTTTATTTTGCCTGAAAGTTTGAAAATTAAGCGATAAGTTTAACCTCTGAATAGGAAGATTAAGCTAGTGTAACTTTGTAACTTCCACAAGGAAAAAGTAGTCATACAGTAGCTTACGTGAAAGGTGGAAAAATAACTCAAGAGTGGAGTTTGTCTGTATATTTGGATGGCTTCATGAGTGCATTTTAGCAATTAGTCAGGGTTAGT